GGGACGTCACAGAAACGTTCTTGAAATAAAATCCTTAAACAATATCTATGTTCATTTTTGTCAGTAGTCATAAAATTGTTTAAATATTACGTAATATCGTGCTTAACACTATGTACAAAGCTTAAAAACAGCATACATAAATAAACAAAATTCCAACTCAGAGAGGTCATTGCAATCTGTTCTTTTATCATGGTCAAGATCAAATTAAACTACTCAATTGTTTTGTCCCATGGTCTTTAAATACTTTTAGAGGAGATCCAATAGTTATTAGACCCATGTTAAGTAGAATAAATATAATACAATTTACAAAGATTTAACAAAAGCAAAGTCAAGCAACATGTCATATGTCGAATTGCATAAATAAAACAAACTATTGTCGGAAAGTAAGGGCCTTGAGGAGAAAAAGATGTGGCAGCACTGTAGTTCCCAATTGTTTACTGCAGATTTCGATTCCATAACCATGCACCATTGTTGGCATAGCCTTCACACCTCACAACTGTAAGCTGAAACTCCGAAATTAATAATGCTGAGTGTCACATTGGATAGTAAGGTAGGCTGGAAGCATTTCATTCCTCAGTCAGCAGCATTGGAAAAGTCTGTCCTCCACACACCTGTGCTCCAATAGTTGCCAGTTTCAAGTCTATTTCAATTTTTGATTGCAGAAATGCATATTTCCATGTTTCGAATGACACTTCATGCCTTATATAAATCACTGCAGAAAATTCTCACACCTGAGTACCCTTTTGACACTCCTTAGCTCTCATAAAAATTAATTTTACCTTCAACTAGCAGCAACCTCAGAAAATCAATGCAAAGAATGTACTTCTTTCAGAAGTCCAAAAGTTAGATATTCTTTGGAGTTTCAAAGACATGCATGTTTTTAATGTTTTTATCTTAAATATTACCATTCCTTCTCACATAAACACTGCATTGTATTCCTGTATTACAATTACAAACAAATTAACTGCATTTTTAGCATGAATTGGATCTGAAAATAATATACAAATTCAACAGTAAAACAAAGAATTCAATTATAAATTTTGAATGCCAACCTTTTCAAGCACAGTATAGAAGGAATTGTTTTCATGCAGTCTCTGTTCTCCAAGAAGATTGAACACATTAGACAATATTGATATGTATGTATGCATGCATGCTTACATTCATTACAAAACATCTGAATGTGTAAATACACATTACATAGTGTTTTATTCTCATTCAGACCATCCAGATTTAAAGAAAGACTAAATATTAAGCTTATCAAACTTCTGCTCATCCACAAAACTAAATAATTTAATTATGATTTAATAATTATTCTGGTTGGTAATGACTATTTACCAACTATGTATATTAAAGAGCCAGTCTTACAAAATTTAAAAGAAATGACTTCATTTGGCTTACGGCCAATGGTTTAACAAAAACAAAACTGTGTGAAGCTTTGATTTAAAAAAATAAAATTATCAAGTTTAATGGTAAGCAATATTTCAAGATTTTAAATTTTCATTCCATTTCTGTTTTTCTTGACAAAAAAACCAATAACATATGATTTTATAACATGATTTCCTCCAATAGTACGCAGAGAATGAATATTTTCAAGTCATATAACACCAAATTAAAAGAACTCAATAAACCTACAATGAACTAGTTTTCCAAGAAAAATTTTGTACATTGTACTCACATATATACAGTAGGAACAAACAATACTTTTGCACCAACTGAGCTAATTTATGTTATATAATCAATTTCTTTCAAGTAATTACAAGTCATCAACACACAAGGTAGTAATATCAATATCCAATACATATAAATCACAGATTTTATTGCCAATGACTATAATGTTCAGAACTCCTAATTTGGAAAGAGAAAGGGTGATACAATAGGAGGGAACGAAGAAAGAACATTATAAAGAGAAGAAGTTTGCTTAGAATTTCACGTTTTTGTTCATGGAACTAAATACTGATAAGTTTATATTCTCAACTTACCACATACACCAATAAAATCAGGTACAACTTCAAGAAAGTTCAGATGTTCATATCTTAAAAATTCTTTTACTGCAATAAATCCCTCAATGAATTAGACCATGTTGGTCTTAATTATATGCAATTAATTACTCTTCCACCACACACATTACATATCTACTTTAACTTCCTTAATTACGATCTGTGATCTTGTCATAGGGTGACTTATTAGATTTATTTATTTTTTTAAATTAAAGATCCACAGTCTTAATTTAGGAATTTGACATGCTATTGGAGGAGCCATGACTTTGCCAATTCAAAAATACATGCATGCATAAAAACAATTATATTGCGTATGTTTTTCAAAAATCATCATTTATCATAAAAACTCAACACTTGCCATTTTAGGCTACCAAACACTCATTACTTCATCAGAATAAATGTTCAGAAAACTGAGAAAATACCAAGAATACAAGATTTCTGTCTGAATCTTTATAGACTTAATAACATACAGGAAAAGAATATCTAGTTGCCTTGTCTCATTATTAATGCAATGAAGAAATGAAGCATCCTCCCTTCAGACCACCTCTGTACCCCCTGTAGGAGACCAAAAATCAAAGATACTGTGTGCACCAAATGCACACATGTCTGATTCATATAGTCATAATCCTGAGAAAACATACTCTTTAAATATCACTGTAAGCCATTCATCTTTGAAATCTCAATAACTGCTTCTTAGCCACAATCTTTCTATGTAGTACCGAGATTCGCACAATAGTGTCCTTTTTTCAACTATTTAACATAACATACAATTTAATATACATTAGTCTTGTGTACAACACTTCACTCACAAACACAGCACTACTTTTCATTTACACTACTGTATACATTAGGAGTATATACAATGCTGGAAATACAGATATTGTATACAATATTTACATTTGCACTATACACAATTACACAAGTATACAAAACTGTATAAACCAGTATTGAATACCTTCCAGTATACATTAGTATTTTGGGTGATCACATTTTCCCTTCCTCAACGTACACAATGCACTGGAATATTTTTACACAATTTACAACACGTATGCACTTACACAATATCCTGTACAAAATCTACCAGTAGAATCTGAAAATACAGGGCAGATACTAGAGATCTGAAGTTAGTAAGCAAAGCAAAGGATAAACATTTCTGTAATGTATACTAATTGTTATCGAAAAGTGCAATAAATAACACTGGACTGAAAACCATGAAACTATGATGATGGAATTTCTGGCTTTAAGATATTAAGCTAAAGGTAAATTTTAACATGCCTATTTTATAAGTCAATGGAAACTAATCTGGCAGTTAACTTTTCTTCACGAATGATTCACACAGGCTTCTGATAACAAGAATGATGAATGTTGAAAATGGAATGCAATAATAATTTAAAGCTACTTTTGGAAAACAAACAGTAAAAGGATAATAAAAGCATACTTGAGAAAACTTATAAAGGCACTAAAACTTGAGATGACTATGACGATGATTTGTAGACAAGAGGATTTAAAACAAAAAAGTGGAGAATAAATATTTACAAAAAATTCTATGAAGACTTCAAACAAGGAATACTCCTATTGTGAAAAGAAGTCAACACTAGTCCTAGGGAAAACAAATGCACCAGAGAAACAAAGGAAGAATCAATCATCATTATGTTTTTACAGAAAAGTTGACTGAGCCAACATAGGCAGATAACATCAGGTTCCTTTTATTAATTCTACTTAAGATTCTCTATTATAATGTATTTCTTTTAGGGAACTATTAAATCTGTTTAAATGTTTACAGAATTAGAACATCTGCTTTAAAATATTCACTTCTCAAATATTTATTGTATTCAAGATTAGAAGAGTATATTTTGTTAAATTATCAAAACAGAATTCATTAGGTCTACTATAATAAATAAAGGAGTTTTTAAGTCCAATTTTAAAAAAAATTAACACCTACGCGGTTTATTTTTTCACGGCTATGTGGGTTTCTACCTATTCTTTCATACATGGGTTATTTTCAAGATGTTCTATCTAATTAAAAATCCAAACACAAATATGTAATAACAAAATAATTCATATTTAGAATAATTGAGAACTGGAAAGAGAAACATTTGATCATTAATTAAGTACTATCTCGTGTGTATGATTTTAATTTTTCTGAATTCTTATATTTTTAAAACCAGAGCATTTACTCCAACAAGATATGCTAATGGATACATGTGTTTCCCATTTACATTAATTAAGTCTTCAATAATGAAAAAGTCCAGTCACAGTTGAAAATAAAACTTATAGCTGATAAGTAATGTATTTGAATCAAAAATTTCAAAAAGCAAAGCAAAGCAAAACTTATCGACTATATTATACAAGAGCCATATTATATTCTTTTCAAACCAGCACTTATCACTATCATTTTGTCTCACTCAAAAATATATTTAATAAATGAAAGTGAATGAAAATAAAACCTCATCACTGCATCAATTAGTTCCAATAGTACTAAAACAACTGGAGTACTTTTTCCAGGGTACACAATAATGAAGAGAATTCAGTTTCCATATCTTAACTGAACCAATTATTTCCTTAGAATGTAACTGAAATTGAAATTGTGGGTTTTATAGAAATAGTTCTGGTGTGCTACAAGAGTATACTTGGGGCTATTCCAAAGCAATGCAATGTGACATCAGCACTCAATAATCCACCTCTTGCAAAAGCAATAAAAAGAAAGAGAAAAAATGAAAAACTTTTTATCACAAGCAGTGGAAGAGAATACTTCTTTCTGATCAACGAGCAATACATACAGATTGGGGGCAGCAATATTGGTTTGGTCGAACGTATTTAAAATCCACCGAACACTTAAATTGGAGGGGGGGGGGGCACAGTATAAGGAAATACATTATGCATTCCAAGAGTTATTACTGATAAATTTTCATACACAAGTCATATCTCAAACTACGATGAATACTAATGTGAACTAGTGCATTTTTGGTAATCCCTATGACCTTTTGTATTGAAATTTCCTTTCATATATTTTATATCTTTTCATGATCTCAATGTCAAAAGCATGATCATGCATATGAAAGAACAATAAATAATTTTAAAAACTTACTGTCTTTATGACTTAACATTACAAAGTAGAAAAAGATAAATTTCCATGACAGTGTTAATAGCCCTTTTAGAAACGAGATGCCCAAGAACTGGATTAATAGCACATTATCTATAAAAACACATATTTACAAAGTAAAAACTGTGACTGATCCCTCATCATTTTCATGAACTTAATTTTGTAATTGACAAAACTGAAGTAACTTCAACGACGAATTTTGTAACATTGATGTTACTCAGATGAACCAAAAAAATTTAGTCTAGAAAAATGTTCATACAAATCTACAATATTAAATGACACTATTTGCATTGTTTATTCCATCACGAGTAGCAATTTACAAAAGCGAATACTTAAATTCTTCCAGTACAGCAGGTGACCTTCATGCAAATGGCTCTGATCACCACAGGGATAAATCTTAAAGTAGCAAAGGCAATATTTCACTAAGGGGTAATGCTATTCACAGCCCTGATTCCCAACATGGAATTTGATGTGAATACACAAGATTAATACAAAGCATTAATGGAAAACTCCTTTCCTGACATTTTATTTATTTAATTGCAAGATCCCTTTTCTTATTCATAACTTGATAATGGTCCTGATCATCTCTACTGCTATGGTCCAAATGCTGAAATGTGATCTTAACTAACAAGTAACGGTTTTAGGTCCATTTCCCTCATACATCACAACCCTGCGACACATTCTTTTGGAGCTGTAGGCATAACAAAATATGGACTGAATTTGAAACAGCAAGTCCTGCTCTATATGCTTTTAGTCAGATAAAGCATCTTTAATTCCAATATTTCCCATTCCAAATATTATGAAACATTAACACTATGGCAATTACCACTCTACTAAATATTAATACTCAAAAGAATAATCATTGGATTAAACAATATGGTTAAAAAGCTTCTTTAGATAATGACATTAGATATACTGGTAATGTAGTTCATAGCAAATTACAATGCAGGAAAGTTTCGAAGAATAAAGTTTTTGCTGCTCAATTTTCTTTTTTTCTTTTTTACATATGTTAAGAAGAAAATTTCTTTTCTAAGATAGATTCATTTGGCTCTTTAAAAGTTTATTAATCCTAGAGGCTAACACTCACGCATTTGCAGAAAACCTGTCAAACTCAACTACCATCTGCATTCATGCGTCGATCTTAAATATAAAAATTATGTACACGTTCTCTGCTCCTTAGAAAGTTTATCTAATGTTACAAGTTACCACATTACTTCGGAACTACATTAGTGTTCAATGAAAACTTTAAGAACAGAGTACAAAATCATTCTGAATATTCGAAACGTTAAATTCATGTTTTATATTTAGTTGTTTGTTCTCTTAGAAATTCATAATTAACAGAAGTTTAAATTTCTGCAAAACTGCTAGCAAATTAAAAATATATTTTACAGTATTCGGAAACAAAAATGGAGACAAGAAAATATGATTCAGACTGATGGAAAAAAACGCACTGACATTGGGGAAAATGTATTACAGTAAATCTTTTTAAATAACATCAATGGGAGATCTGGTAATAGGAAAATGTCGAACTCTTGTATTATAATCACAAACAATTCTCTTCAATTTCAAATACACAAAATATTTGGTATTCCTCAGTTTTCCTCCTTTTTCTTTAGAAGTACATCATTTATAGTTTAGGATCACCATGTATTTTTCAGGACAATTCTGATAGTTTAAATTAAAACTTTCAATTAAAAGTAAGCAATGATATAGAAGGGTAGAGAAAGAGTGAACATGTCAATTTCATCTACCACAACCTAGAATATGAGCCAGTCTTCATAAATAAAAGAATAATTAGAAAACACATGCAAGTCTAATAATGAGAGCATCAATAGGAAGAAATGTACATAATAAAATAAATGGAAAGATTAGATTAAATAATTCAGAGAGACATGATAGAAGGGGAATTAATGCAGAGGCAGTAGTTACATAAGACCACACATCATCTTACTTCAGCATGATCTAATTGCAAAATATTTGACTAGCAGATCACTGATCATGCCATTAAACAAAAACTAATTTGACTTTTACAGGTTATCTTTACATTTGCATTCTCTATTATTAAAGTTAATTAAACAAACTAAAAAATTATATTATTAATATCAATACAATTTATGAATATATGATGTCACTGGTAAGCATACAATAACGTATTTACAGTGGATTTTTTAAAATATAAATTTGAACTCAAAGGAAACTTAAAAAATATGTATTACCCAATATTTTCATAAATCAATACGTTTTTTAAATATAAAAATTAAAATAATGAATGCCCATTTTTCCAGCAAACTATTACTTCGGACTCCAATACTTCATTAAGTTATCATGTGAGTGTTTAAAACAACTTCAATTCACATTTGTCAGAGTTTAAAAGTCCAATTTTAATGTTTCTTTGCTATCCGCTAGAAGACCGACCACGATATGTACCAAAATATAAGCTGACCTAATTTTGAGCATGAACCAATTCTTACTATTTAGGCAAAATAAAATTGGAAATTGTCTAAGTGACTAGAAAATTGTCTCAGTGAGAATTTTAAAACTTGGTATTGCCTATACTATCATTTTCTTGTTCCTTAAAATAATCATAATTGTAGTTTTTGTCCCTACCATTTTCATCTTCACATATATTTCGCTTCTTTCTTTGTGGTCCTTCTTCCATAGTGCATCATCCAACCACTTTAAGAGACCCACCTGAAAATGTTGCGTGCAACCTAAGAACATTCCCTTCTAAATCAGCAGATTTTCTTCCAAACATGCTTTGTTTGTGGCTTTTTAACAGTTCTTTCGCAATCTCTATCAGAATAGCCTTGAAATGCGCAATGTTTCATGTACGCATGTTAGAGTTGTGAAATGCAAACTTGTAAACCTCCGTCTGTTTATTCGCATGTAATGCAGGAGATACGGGCAAGCTTCCAAGTTTGTGAAGTTTTCGCTAAGAATAAATATTTTAACATTCTGTCTCAGTGGTTGGATGAATAAAGCGTATTTCTATCAACATTTTTTTCTCTTTCCATTTTATTTCTTGCAAAACACAATTCTCACTCGGCAGGCAACAAACCAAGAGTCTGCACAGCCTTGTCAATCAACACATCGTAACACAATTTAGGTAATGACTTACTTATTTTCATGTGCTTCACTTGCTACAAGTACTGATCACCCAGCAAATTTGTGGAGGATGCCAACATCAAATATAATTTAAGATTATAGAATGTGTAATATGTATGGCTTTTGCTTCTCATTGTTATGTAAGCATTTGAGTTTCTTCTTGGTATGATAAGGCAGAGTAAAAATATATTTCCTAACCAACTATGCTTCATCTGCGAATATATGGTGACCTTGTACTTCACAAATGGAATATTCAGAAAAAAAATCTCACTTTATAATCTGGTAAAAACTACCTGGAATTTTGTCATGATTTGTGTCAATAACTAGTATAATAGCCTTCCAACATTTTCAGCAACAGTATTTTCTTCTTTAGTACTATTTCCAATTCTAAAAACCCTTCAGATTCATTTCCCAATATTAAAATACATTCCCCGCTTAAATTCAATCACAAGTGTTAAAAGATTCAATGTTCATTACCACTTGAATATGAAGTAACTTTCCTCACTTGCAATCTTCTCTTGCCTTCCTGGAATTGCTACTTCCACAAATTAAATATTTTTTTTTTTAATTTAAGAGGTTTGATACTTAAAAAACTTAATTAAGGTTTAAACACAAAGCATGATTTACACAGAACATAGTTTCAGCCTTACAAGGACTTAGTGCATACCTATTTTTTACCATTTGATTTTATCATGGATTTTTGGAGTCTGTTTAAGAACAAAATCTGGCAACTAAGAAAATGATATAAATCCCAATTGCCTAGCTTTCAATACAATTCCAAACACGACAGTTACTTCTTTCCATTGATAGCCAAATTATACCATTTAAAGCCATCTTCGGACCAACCACTTCTCACAACACAATTCTTTCAAAACAAGTATTACTGTATTAGAGACCAATTAATCCCTATTACATTATCTCAGCTCAAACTACAATTACTACTCATCCTCAATTAACTTTTAATTTTGTTCACAGATTCTTATTTAATGATTCAAATTTGCAAATGAATGCACATGATGGCAACTCTCAATGGGCAAAGTACTGAAATCCTGGATGATCATTGAAAATTGCAAGAATTCAAATTGATTATTAAAATATTCCATGGATATAAAGTTTATTTAAACTAATTCCCCCAACATGTAACAAGCTCAAAAACTTGAAAAATAGAGGATCTGAAACAATAGAGCATGCTTCATATTATCTTTTACTCAAAACAAATCTCGAGTAATTCTCCAACATGTGAAACTGAAGTGCGTTTGGTAATCTTAGTACATACACGCAGAAAGAGCTATTGTGCAATCATCCACTACTACATGCAAGTGCTTAACATCTTGCTCAATTTCATATCAACCCATGGCTTAATGTCATTAAGCATTTCGATCAAATTAACATCAATAAGAAATAAAATATTTTCTCACATGCCACTTTTCCACAAAAAGGCTCTTTTGTATAGAAGAGTACAATTTAATTTCTTTGCAACTTCATTTTCATTCCATTAATTGACAATAAGTAACATCACTTTGTATGTGATACAAAAAAATTGATGACAACTCTTGGTTTTTTAATTTATTACAGTAGATTTTACGAAACTCAGAATTTTGGGGCAACATTATTCCATTAAAATAAATGGCGATTTCTGTCCATGAAACAAGCAATGCTTGCACATGCCACCACGCAGCAAATGGTATAATGGCAGAGACAATGACAAAGTCCACATTAATTATTTTTCAGAGATTTACTTAAAATCTGAATTTTCACTTCTTTTGAGTAACAATAGAATTTCAAAAAAGCGACAATAAGTCAAAATTGTGAGGGCGTGATCAACATTGCTACAAAAGTATAAATAAAATGTTACTAAAAATAAAAAAAATTAATTAAACATGAAAAATTCAGTCACGCAAATTATGGAGGGGGAGAACATAGCAACTTTATCATCTAAATTACGAATAATAAAATTGCCCTACAAAAGGAACTATTACAAAATATATAAATATATATATATATTAAAAAAATATTCCAACATACACACAGACATCAATTCCCACAACAAATTCAAATAGAGTTTTCTAAATCAGAACGGGATTTTAATTTAATAATCAGAAGAAATTTGTTATCCATTGTCCAGCAACGTCGTTTAATGAATGACAAAATTGCCTAACCTGCAGGTATAAGAATACGTAATAACATTTGTCAACTTATCTGTATCTCGAAATTATTCCATAATAAAAGTCGCATGCATTTAAAATTTTAATATCCTCTTCCAAAATATAAAAAACTCAAAATTATTGATTGTACAGTATTTACACACACATCCTATTTCTGAATGTCTTGATTTTCTTGTGAATGAAAGTCGCAAACTTTTGTATTTTAAACTACTATCACTTCTGTTCAGATATGTCAGTCTATTTGAAAAATAATATATTGCTCTTGATTGATTGGCCTAAGTCTTTATAGCACAACAATTGTGCCAGTCAAGATAAAAATGTAAGATTTTGTTTGCATGAAAGCACAAGTATTGATATTAAAAATGTGTTTACTGAATATATCAACTTTTGTACACTTATTTGGGAAGAAAGAAAATAGTTCCAAATTTAACTATTAGTGACAATTTAAGATAACTCTTAAAAATCTCATTGAAGCTCTTTACAAATATTTCTTTCAAAAGGATTGCCTTTGGCAGCAACTAAAATGGACAGTTTCTTTAGATGACAATTTTTTCTGATAGAGGTAAAGACGATACTATGATGGTGGATATTATTTGAAAATGCCTACATGTGGCTAGCTTCTGACTTTGTTTTCGTGACTAATAATGTACAAGAGGCTGAAAGTCCCTCACCACAACAACTGTGTTTCAAGAAAGCAATCATACAGATATTTACATATAAAATAACTTTAAAGGCATTTCTACACTTAAGAAAGAGACACACACACATCATATATATATATATATATATATATATATATATATATATATGCATAAACAGCATGAGCATGAAAATACCAGGAATAAGGAATTATTAATTTTCAGAAGTTCATGTTTGAAGCACGAGAGTGACTGGTAATGAGATTTAGTGACAATAATATGGTAAATGAAGGTAACACCACCCAGTTGAAGTATTAAAAAAGGAACAATGGTGTTCAATGAATTCAACCTACATTAGCAATAATGAAACAAACACAATGGACTGGATTTAGGGACTGATAATTTCCTACCATATTATACAACCGAGTTCATTAGAAGTCAAAACCACTCAGATTTGTCACACTATCACATTCTTTATTGACTTAGTATGAAAGTATGATACTTATTTTTGAGGTAGTGATTGTTTAAAGGACAAGAACAATTCCTAATTTCTCAGTTATGTAAACGTACTATTTACAATTAGAAGCATGGTGATCCTAGACTTCCCAATTTCATGACCTTCTGGAAGTGTGTGTATGCACAATATTTGAATGAATAAAGCATGTTAAAATACACAATTCTTTTTGTTGACAGAAATATACTATACATAGGAGCGAGTTCAGGGTACTGCATGCAAATTTACTGGCAATATTGGAGCACAGCAACACACGGCCACCACTATGATGAGCTTGATGCATTCATTCCACTGAACATTCCAGTACTAAATGATGTCTGTTGCTGAGCTTGTTGCTGCTGCTGTTGTGCCTGCTGTTGCATTTGCTGGTTGCTAGTCTGACGTCCATGTTTGGGCATAGGAGGTTGCAGGTACTCGTGCCGGGCCAAGGAGAAAACATCAATGCGCTCCTCTTTTCGATACGCTAAACAGCTACGAATGAATGTCTAAAATAAAAAATGAAAAACTTTTTAAGTCGGCATAATTAGGGAAAGAATACAAGGTCACATACAAATGAGGGGGAATTATTTATAGCACTGAATATACTTTTATCACCTTAGCTTCATTTGTGACTGCAGGCTTATTAGCAAACTGCACCTCTGTTGCTTTGAGGATGGTATTCTCTTCCAGTATCGTTGCCTGTGATTGGTTATGACCAAATGGCTGAAGAAACCAATTAAAACAAATAATGAGCAAATTACAAAGCAAGATTATTATGCCAATGCCAAATAACATTATTTCCTAGAATTATTCACTCACCTTTTTACCGTAAAGACACTGGTAGAAAATTACACCTACACTCCATACATCCACCTTTGAAGATATTTTAGGAGGATTTTTTCCAACTACAAAACATTCTGGCGGCAGATACCTGAAACACATTCAAATATGTATCAACAACACTGCAACATGAAGTAGATGACCCTCCAAGATAAAAAACAAATGAGGGTAGTATCCCCATCATTGGAAGCAGCAAATTATTTGAATCGCACCTGAATTTTACCAACGTCACTTCCATACATCTTCAACACTGAATCACATCAGCCAAGCAACAAACCAGACATACATTCCTTGACAATACCTACAGCTGGCAGGTTAACTAATATAGAAAACTTTAAGAGACCTGGTGTAAAAACAGCAAATTTCAGAGGTAAAAAGCAACATAAAAACATGCTAAAAAGAAATCAAAAATGATTTGGGATGGAAATGAGTAATTGGTGTGAAGAGTCACCAAAACTATAAATGGAAAACCAGCATAAAGGATATTATTAATAACTTCTAAAATAAAATAAACTCTGGCAACCCAGAAAAATTAATCGACTTTAGCCATTTAGAAATCATACTGTGCTACAATAGAAACCTAATGGAGTTGCAACAGCACATACTTTCTAGGATTACTTGTAACAGATACATAATATTATAATACTTCCTGTACTCACAAAAAGATTTCCACACAGAAAAAAATGTTAAAAGTTTGCATGTACTGGCATTCAACCTTGGTTATTTAAGTTTAGCAAGCTCTGAACTAACAACTATTCCAATTGAAGAGTTCCCAATAATTCAAGAAGAAAGTTCAACATTTGCAACCGTCAAAAATTCAGATGTTTTAACAGATTGGACCTATGACATTTTATTAAGCAAACATTGTCCCATTCAAATAAAATAAATTAAGACAAAATTAGCAGATTCAAGAAAATACTGTTTAAGTAATTTTAAAAAGTTGTCACAATTTCACTCAAAATTGAGCAAAAAAGCTACACATAGTCAAAAACATCTTACATTACAGATCCAATTTTGAAGAACATATTAATGAAACAAATTTCGATCTTCAATATTACAGATTTAGGAATACTACAAAAAAATTTTCTCTTGCAACTTTGGAAAATTCAGATAATTCAACAAAAACAGATGGAGCAATTTTTATAAGTAATCTTTACAAAGAAGAACCTTATGAGAAGCAAGGATTTTGTTATCCCAAATGCGGAAGTTCATAATTTTGATTCTAGACAAAAAAGAATTCGGCATTTCACTCATAGTGAAACTTCTCTTTCAAAGAAGGCCTCTCATAAAAGAATTCTGCATTTCACTCATAGTGAAACTTCTCTTTCAAAGAAGGCCTCTCATAAAAGACATTGCATTATATAAAAAATACTGAAGCTTTCTTTTTAAACCATACTATTCATCATAAATGTGCCTCTACATCAACATAAACCACTAATAACTTTGTATATTTTGTTTAGTGTTTGACATCCCAAAAACTGATGGATTGTCATAAAGGTTAAAGCTCATTTCAGAACAATTCTCCCCCCCCCCCCTCTTTCTTTCTTTTATATTACTATTTTTTATTTTACTCTCTTTGCACAGGCAATTATAAAATTCATAAGCATTGTATTGTATTGTACATAGCTGTGAAAAACTTTAAATAATTTAATGCAGTAGTTCAGAAAGCGAATAAATTAATATTATTAAGAAAGATGATTAATCATCTATTATGGTCTGAAATTAAAATAATCCATTCACTGAAACTTTTTTAAATCAATTATTTGCTCACAAAAATAAAAAACAATCGGTATGTACAGAAAAACTCATCTTGGTATGGGCTGGCTTTGAGCAATTTAACTGTAAATAATTCATATACATTGTATCTTATTCTACAAACGCAACAAAGTAGTTCACAAATTGTAAAATTCTCAAGTTGCAGAGCCCAAAAATTAAATACTCCTATCCTTATTCAAACAATAAGATTCATAGTATTACATGTTCATATACAACAAACAAATCCTAACAGCATTCTAGTTAAATGAATTGAACCGAAGGTTTTAATTAGTAATAAAGTTGAATTGACAGTCTCGTTTCTCTAATAATTACTGTCGAACAATCATTAACATACTCTCCACATTAGGACAGTTTTTTGTACACCCCCCCTTTTTCTTCTTCTATATCATATTAACCCCAACTGACTTTATTTGAATAAATGGTAAACCAACAAATTTAAACTGTGATTGTTGAAGTTCTTGTGTAATATTTGTACCATATCTTTGTAACACACTTGAGAAATTAAACAGCAACATGCTTTTTATAACATTGTTGTGCCGTTATTGCAACACTGATAAGTTAGTGCTCACAGCCAAGCTGATTAGAAATCTTGGATCACAGAAAATTAAGGAAGCTTGAAACTATAAAATTTTTACTACTACAGATTTTCTCATGTTCTGCTAAAAGTAGGTATATTGTTAAGTTAATATATTATTTACTGGAACTGTTTCTATTCTGAATATTTTATAACTATCAATATACCTAGAAATGTTATGAGTTATTACTGCAGAGGCCAAAAGTTAAGAATCAAAGCGGAGCTGAGATTGTTTAATGTGGACAAAGTATGGAATAACATTTCGTGGTATTTTCAGAAGTTTATGCGAAAATTTACAATATTACAGCGATAGTAAACAAATGAATTCTATTGCTGTGACACGTTACTACAATATGGCAGGGTGTTGGTCGCAATATATTTATATAAACAATATTCATATACCGTGATTTGAAAAAAGATTGATGTAAATAATTCTTCTGAACCTAAAGATACTTAAAGAAATGACGTTCAATGAGGAAGTAGGCATGTAGTAACCTTCAGATCGTCAGTAAATATGATTACCAAAGAAGAGTTTCATTTGGTGGAATGCCAGGAAAAGAGGTTAATTTTACCTAACACACTTTTTTAATTGCACTACAATATAACTAACAATAATTATCGTCAAAACTAATGAGTTCCTTTTATTCTGAATTATTTGAATCTGATTTGTACAGAACGTCACCCTTTTTTTCCCTTAATAAACATTTGACTTGCGATGAATTAATTGTTGTTTATTTCATTTGTTAAGGATGTTAAATTTCTTAACATACAGGTTGGTTCAAGTGCACTTAAAAAATCTGTAGGGTTGCATGTTAACAGGGGTGTAACAGCATGTGACAAGATAAAACAAAGAAACAAGTCAATCATGCCTGCATGATACATTGTATATAATACACCTAATGTTAGAATTTGACTAATTTACGAAATAGTTGGTTATGTTAATATTATCTGGAATGGGTGATAAAAGTCTGAAGAAGGAACAGTTTCACAGCATACTTCGGACTTCAGCTGGATGAAGTGGGTATACTAGTTGAGGTACTCAAATCAGGTGGGTAGGGCAAGGTAGGTGAGGAATGTAATTGTGACAAGGAACAACAAATGCTTTGTAATAAACGGGAATCAGATGTAGGAAGTCTCGAAGGCTAGAGAGAGAAGATGGGAGGTTTTATTGTGCCAAATCATAAATTTCAATTTACACAATACCAACTAATCTAACCTCACTGTATATCTCGGTTAACACCTTACTTCAGATTTCTAAGTTGAGGCGATAAGGCTCGGGACTTTGTGATTTACATAAAACAACCAGTCTGTGCAAAGCATAATTTTCAATATACTTTAAGGCAAACTGCTTTTGAGATATTCACAAAATGCCTCATGTTCTAAAAATCACCTTACCAGCATGCAGAGACTAAACATTAGCAGTATAACGTCAGAAATGATCCGTTGTCACTGAATATAGCTTTTTTGCCACCATCTGGCTAATGTATGAATTATTGTGCTAATTCATGAACTAGCCTTATTATCGACTTTAGCTTTAACATTTACACCAATGGACTATAGTAAGTACTGAAGTATGAAGTAAATAAATATATAAGTAATAAAGTGGTTTATGTTCAAAAGTTCTCAAAAAATCCAGTAAAAATAACAAATTAAGAAATTGATTTCTAATTTTATAAATTTAAAAACAAATAAGCACAAAGATCATATGATTGAAGCTGGGTAAATGTGATAGTTGCATCCTTTTGCAAGATGAAACTAAATGTGAGTGATAAGATGATTCTAAAGGAATGTAACTACATCCTTACATAACAGGTATGACAAGTATTACAGTAAAATTATGTTAAAAAACTCACCAATAGGTTCCAGCACCTTGCGAAGTTAGATCCATGCCATGATCTGGATTGTAGTTTTCCTCATCCATTACTTTGCTGAGACCAAAATCCGTTATTTTGATCTCACCACAAACGTTACCTTCTGTCAGCAATATATTACCTAAAACAAAATTAATAATAGTTAAATTCATAAGAGGTGTTCAGTTCCTGAATGAATGAACATGAAATGAATATGAAAGCAAAAGTTAAATACACATCGACAGCATTCAAAATACTCATATAAAAAAAGTAACAGCAGAAACATACATACAATTATTTCCCACCAGCATTAAAAATAGGAGACAAAACAAAAACTAACAAAATCTTTATTATAATAGTCCGTTTTGTGCTTAATTCCATCATCAAATCACAAACATCCATGTGTTCATTAAACTTTTACAAATTCACATAAAGCGATTTCTTATCCAAAAAAATTTCAACTATAATCCATTTTACTGACTAGGTACTTTCAAGAATTAAAACTTCTTGCTATTAATAGGCCATCAACAATTTACACACACCACAACAAAATAGAGAAAAGGAAATACAGTGGAATCATCATTTTGTAGTGATCATCATCATCATTATCATTATTATCATTATTATTATTATTATTATTATTATTATTATCATTATTATCATTATTATTATTATTATCATTATTATTATTATTATTATTATTATTATTATTATTATTATTATTATTATTATTATTATTATTATAGGGACTTGCTTATACTGTTGTTCCATATAAACCATACACAATTTTAGGTCCCAAACATTATTCAACTTAGTGGAAGCAAAGAATTCCAATGAGTATGCAGAAACCAATAACAACTGTACAATGCAAGTTGATCAATTTTAAACTGAAAAAGCATATCACCCCTCACTGATAACTCACAGCTTCTGTATTCTCAATTCGCTATTTATGTGGAAACTAATGTGGAAAAATAATTAAGAGGGGGGCAAAAAAGAAACCCATTTTCGTTGCCCTATTCATGAAATTGCCCAGATTACGAACTGGACAAAATCTTGGCCTTATCATGAAATGGTCAGTACAAAATTTTGTCCAATTCGTGAACAGGCCCATCAGATATTAACATGAACTTTTTGTACAATTTTCCCACTATGTATTTAAATGTTGCATTATAATTAACGATTTAAAACTCATGTATTCAACAGTAGTTAGGTAATTTAATTAGATGAATGTTTCAGCAATTCAAGGGTTGTTCCCAAGAGAGTGGAAAAAAATTGCCTATAATTCAGGCAAAATGAAAATTATACATGTCTTTGAATAAAGATCTGTCTTTGAAGATCAGATTATATTAAGGAAACAAATCTCAATCTTCAACTTCATTGTAGGACGACTTTGAAAAAAAAAGAAAAACGTATGCAATTTTCGAATATTTAGAGTCTCAGGAAAACGAGACTGCCACTTTTCAAGTGTTCTTTGTTCTTTTTCACGGAGAGAAAATTCAAAAAATTTGGGCCAATTTACAAAATATTTTACAATGTAAATAGCTTTATGTATTGATTGAATAGTGATTCCAGGTGCATCAATTGCTGTCGTTAGTCACGTGTAGAGCATGCTTTTATAATAATAATAATAATAATAATAATAATAATAATAATAATATTTATTATTATTATTATTATTATTATTATTATTATTATTATTATTATGTCTTCCCCGTGGCGCTGAAGGTTGTGGCAGCGGTCGTCTGTGCCCAGGAGGGTGCAAGTTCATGTCCTGTATAGACATGGTAGTATTTGCGATTGTTCCTCCACACCTCATTATCATCGTATCATCCTACTATCTCATAATTCACACTTCAAGGCATAACAACCTTGTCATAATGAGGGATACAGCTGAAAAGCTGATCCTGGAAGAATTACACTCGTTAATCGTGTAGCGTGGTCAGTAATGGTCTGCAAGCCAATAACAACAATAATAATTATAATTACAATATTATTACTATTATTATTGCAGAAGGTGACTGATGCCTGCTGGCTTGCGAGATCTGGTGCCAACCTACGTCTGCTTGTGAGGATTTTCTGCAACCAGGCATCTTCCACCAGCATGGAACCACCCCAGCCGGGACAAGTTCTAAACTTCTGGCAAATGTGGTAGAGTAATGCATGTGAGTAGGTAAGGGGTGAGTAAAGGACGAGGAAGGAAACATTGCACAGTCTGTGGCCAGTTTCTTAGGGTCCTGCTCCGGCATTTGCCTGGTGCTGATGAGAGAAACAACAGAAAACTTATCGATCAGAGCAGCTGACCATGTTCTCCTCCAGACAGTGACAATTCGAACTAGCTGACAAGCTTAAACACTATTTTCTATTTATTTATAATAAAGCCAGCAGGTATAACTCAATTACAGTCTTACAATACAAACTAGAGGGTACAGCAACTATCACAGCTCATCTACTAGTTTTCACATTTAATACAATTGAAAGACCTAAGTTAAAATGAAATAACAAAAATATAATACAAATATTATAAATAACAATAAAAATCAAATAATATACACATTCGAATTTGCGTAGCATCTAACTGCATAAATTCAGACTGAAGGCAATCCATCTTTATTTGATATTTATTTCGTATAAGTTTTAAATAATTACTAAAAAATTAATTTGAAAACCTATAGTAAAGCTCCAATGTAAGAAAGAAATATGTAATAATACAAACGTTCTAACTTATATTGTATCCAATTGCCTCAAAATGCCTCTAAAACTACGAACACGACACACAGAGCAACTAAGCTCAACGCCCATTTACTAAAATAATAAAATAAAAAATAAATTTAAAAAAAAAACTCAAATTTTTGGAACATTCAACTTTACCTTAATAGTCAAACTTTTTTTAAAAAACAGTGGAAATGTAATCTGACAATACATTTCTGAAATTCCTTTTATACAATT